CAAATGGATACAAGAAAGCTTTGATATACCTTCCTGTCTTCAACATCAGGACTGCTAGGAATTCATTTCGGAGATGAATGTCCGCTCTTACACACGTTAAGTAAGGCATGGCCCATTCTTGATACCGGCATAGAATAGTAGCACTACCAATACATGCCAAGGCATAGCTACGTTTACGACACGGCAAACATGCATGTTGAACATGAACTTGACCTTGTTGATTTTCGTGTTCTTTTTGCTTTTCCGTAATGCTACTTTGGACGTTTCTTTTCCGGCATCGAAGTTCAGGAGAATGTTTCTGGTCATGTGGTTGTTTGTGGTACAACCAGCAAAACCTAGGTAGTTGTTTTTGGTACCACCACCAAAACCTATGTGCTTGTTTATGGTACAAACACAAAGACCTGTTTGGTTGTTTATGGTACAACCAAAAAAACCTATGTGCTTGTTTATGGTACAAACACAAAGACCTGTTTGGTTGCTTATGGTACAGCCAAAAAAACCTATGTGCTTGTTTATGGTACAAACACAAAGACCTCTTTGGTTGTTTATGGTACAGCCAAAAAAACCTATTTTGTAGATGCGTTTTACGCATCCGTATTCACCTGAGTCCACAGGCAAATCACGCATAAAGGATGCACGTGTTGCATTGAAGTTTCAGGTTCCCACAAGAGCTCGCTCACCAACCCTGTCTGCTACGGAGCAGATGCCACCTTATTCGAGTAAAACAGTACCACCCTTGATAAGCATCATTCCGATATACTACGGCTGCTTCATAACATCTGTCATGAGGCTCGTACATGGCGTTAGAGTCTTTAACCTTGTTGTGTACGACCTTAGTTTTTCTCGACTTGATTTATCACACATTCCGTTTTGAACACTTGCACTGTTTCTGTGCACTGCCGCCAGCAAATGACAAAATCTATAACCAAGATGCAAACCAAGATGGCCTCTATGTCGCTTAGCACGCGGTGCACCAGATACCCATGCCCTTAGTCACAACTACTCTTACACACTTACGCGAATCTTGGTTTCAAAGCATGCACACAAGGCAGAAACCTAGGGTTCCTACGCAGCACGCGTGCGGTGTTCGTGGCTTCCCCCAACGCTTTGCCAATCCGAGATAGGGAAGCCAAAAAACTGCAACATTAAGAATTCATTGTTCACTGTCAGTCTTTTCTCTGAACCACAGGTGCCAAAAAAAGTGCGAAGTTTACAAGATTCCACTTCCTTCATCTTGAGACGCTCGAATCTGTGGATCTCTAAACCATTCACATCTATCTATCTATCTATCCATCTATCTATCTATCTATCCATCTATCTATCTATCTATCCATCTATCTATCTATCTATCTATCTATCTGTCCATCTATCTATCTGTCCGTCTATCTATCTATCTATCCATCTATCTATCTATCTATCTATCTATCTATCCATTAATATGTTTATAGACATATGACATATGTATCTATTTCTCCAACACATGAATTGTCTTACATGCAATCTCCAAGCCAAAATATCATCTGTAACATCAGGAAGAGCTACTTTTGGTTCCTCAAACATCTTCCTCTAGCTTGTTGACAAGTTCTCACCTTCTGGAATCCTATCCCTCCATCCCCTTTCTCGCTGATTTTAGACCACACTCTGTTCGTGTGCGAGGCGATCCCCGTATTGGAAGATCGCTTTCACTCGTCCAAACACCTGTGTCAATGAAAGTTGTCCTATGAAAAAATGTGCTGATATGCAGCAGGAAGCACACATCTAGAGACATATGAAATACATTGATATTGAATGAATATCTATGAATCATATACCTGTTTTGATGGCATGCTCTGTAAGGGAATAGTTCTATATTAGCGGGAAGTACAGATGAGATATCTCAGACAACGTCAATTGCTCCTGTCTGCAGGCCAAATCCCTCAACAATGAGGTGGGAAAATACGATGGCCAAGCATGTCCGGCCATCGCATTTTCCCACCTCATTTTTCGACCAACAGTCCCTGACCTTTTTACGTATATTACATAGTTACTACATTGCATTACATTTCATTGCATTGCATTACATTACATTGCATTTCCTTGCAGCGCATTGAATTGCATTGCATGACCTTGCATTGCATTGCATTACATTGCATTACATTGCATTGCACTACATTTCATTGCATTGCATTGCATTACATTGCATTGCATGACCTTGCATTGCATTGCATTACATTGCATTACATTGCATTGCATGGCATTACATTGCATTACGTTGCATTACATTGCATTACATTTCATTGCATTGCATTGCATTTCATTGCATTGCATTACATCGCATTGCAGTACATTGCATTGCATGGCATTACATCGCATTGCAGTACATTGCATTATATTTCATTGCATTGCATTGCATTACATTGCATTGCATTTCATTGCATTGCATTGCATTACATTGCATGGCATTACATTGCATTACATTGCATTGCATTACCTTTCATTGCATTACATTGCACCCGTGCGGCGCAACCATGCACCTGTGCAGCGCAAACACTATCTGTATAATAATAGGGCCAAACTACTTGTTTCAACCGTATTTTCCGAGCATGCAACAAAGCGGAAGCAGTATCTGGACAAAACTTTGGACAAACTTGGACACTTGGACACCTAAACAACTGATACGAAAGGAATTGTAGAAACCAAAACTGACGTGGGAAAATACGATGGTCAAGCATGTCCAGCCATCATATTTTCCCATATCCTTTTTGGATACCAACAATACTCATTGCATAGGATACCTGAATTCAGGATACCTGAATCATATTCATAAGAAAAGAGTCGAACGCCTGAAGGTGCGAAGCAACGAAGCATATTTCTGCCAATTTGGTTTGATTCATTGCCGATCCTAGGCTCTCTTTGGGATGCCATTTAGGGTTTCATTCAAAGTTTCGTTGGGCTTTTATTTATGGTTTCTTTAGGTCAATTTATGATTTTTAGGGTTCATTTTGTGTAGCAATTCTTTAGGGTTTCTTTCGGTTTCACCTAGGGTCTTTAAAATTTCGTTTAGGATACAAACAGGAAAGAATAAAACAAAAGAATTAGGATTTCATGTAGGGATTCTCTGGAGATTTACATCTCTTAAAGGTTTTATTTCGGGTTTCTTTTGGGTTTCTGTCGGGTTTCATGTAGGGTTTGATTTAGGGATTCTTTCAGATTTCATTTAGGGTTTAATTTAAGATTTTATGTAGGATTTCTTATCAGAAAATCTTGTCAAGGTTTTCAAACATTCATGTGGGTTTCTTGAAAGTTTCTTTAGAGTTTCATTTAGGATTTCATTCATGAGGGGTCAAAAAAACACGGGGGAGGTCAAAAAAACAAGGTGGGGGATCAAAAAAAACAAGGGCCCCGTATACTTTGATAAAATATCATGCACCTGTGCGGCGCAACCATGCACCTGTGCGGCGCAACACTAGCTGTATAATAATAGGGCCAAAAATATCGTGTATATATATACATATGTATATATATATATATAACTATTATACAGTTACTTAGATCCATGAACCCATAAAAACATAGGATAATAATATTAACATACACCCAAATGAAAAACCCATTTACAAATACAAGTTCCAACCTATCAAATATATTTCACAACAATATACATAGGAAAAAGGGCGAAAGCCTCAAGGTGCGAAGCACCAAAAAGTTTTTTCCGGGGTCGGCGGCAGGGGCGGCAGCCCTTAAATATATATATATATATATGTATGTATGTACGTATGTACGTACGTACGTACGTATGTATGTCTGTATGCATGCATGGATGCATGGATGGATGAATGTATGTATGTATGTATGTATGAATGTATGTGTGAATGTATGTATCTATGCATGTATGTATGTATGTATCGATGGATGGATGGATGGATGGATGGATGCATGCATGCATGTATGGATGTATGGATGTATGGGTGTATGTAATGTATGTAATGTATGTAATGTATGTAATGTATGTAATGTATGTGATGTATGTAATGTATGTAATGTATGTAATGTATGTAATGTATGTAATGTATGTAATGTAATGTAATGTAATGTAAATGTAATGTAAATGTAATGTAAATGTAATGTAAATGTAATGTAAATGTAATGTAATGGTAATGTAATGGTAATGTAATGGTAAGGTAATGTAATGTAATGTAATGTATGCATGCGTGTTTCTAGCTGCAGTGCTGTAAATTTGCCATATCTTCGCTCATGCTACCGTCACCAGCTGCATCCACTGCGCTGCACAGATACCTCCGCAGAGCTTCCGAACCACCCAGACCTTTCACAACATGAACATATTCTAAGTGCTTCTTGAGAAACAATTGAAACAACATATGTTCTAGGTGCAAAACCACTACTGTACATTGTGTCTATACCAAAAACATATACATAAAAATAATTCATAAGATTTTTTAAGATTACATAAATTAAAGATAGTATATATGTATATATACACTATGTAATTAAACGATATTTAATACACATGTTAGCATGTATTGGCATTTATGTCAGATTTTTATGATATGTGTATATATTTGTGCCTCTAACTGGTCAGTTACTTTCAGATCTTTCAGTTGCTACATCTGATCCAAAAGTTGAAAGAAGCCAACATCCAACCAGCTCGGCCTCGCCTGCAACGCACACAGAAGGAGCCTGCCAGCTATATAAACCCTGGCGGAAACATATTGGCGTTGTTCATTGTTGCTGTTTTGGGGTACGGATTTGATTGCTGTGATTCGACCTTTTTTTTCTTTCACACTTGGTCACCACATCCCTGAATCTGGAGAACCTGGATAAAACTGTTGAGTTGAGGACCTGGCATCCAAATCGAGATCCCGCACCTTCCAGTGGTTGCCACCCTTGATTTTTCCACCAGCCTCCATCGGACTCCACCATATATCAAAATCTGTCACCGTGGTCAGGGCCACAACCCAACAGAAACTCTGGGCCACAACCCAACCCAAACGCTGCGAGCCTTACAGAATGAGAACATCGAGTCGTCGCTTGGCAAGCTGCTGCTCTGCGAAGATCTCGGCACTTCTCTCAAGATTGTCCACCTCCTCATCCTCGGCCATTCGCAGGGTAGCATCTGTCCCATCCACGTCCGGCTGTGGAGCCTGCGGTCTGGGCGGCGCGGCTGCCAAATCCTCGGTGGGTTCTGGTGCTGCTGGGGTAGGAGGGGCAGCATCAGGATCTGCCTCGGGTTCAGCCGCCTCACCTGCAGCAGCGTCCTTAGCCTCAGGTTTAGGGGCCTCTGCCTCAGGCTCGGCTGCCTTGGGCTCAACGGCCTCCACGGGTGCTGCTGGGGTAGCTGGTAGGGCTGGTGTCGCTGGTGCGGGTGACAGCAGTGGTGGTGGTGCCATTGCTGGCAATGCCACTGGTGCCACTGTTGCCACTGGTGCCACTGTTGCCACTGCGACTGGCGCCACTGTTGCCACTGCCACTGGTGCCACTGTTGCCACTGGTACTGGTGCCAGTGGTGCTGTTGCTGCCAGAGGTTCGGCGGCCAGCGGATGCTGCATTGCTGCAGCAGCGCCTGCAGGGGTAGCCACAGCAATGTCAGCTGCAACTGAGAGGCCACCCTCAAGCTTGGCAGATGCTTTCTCATCTTTCTTTTGTGCTATCTTTTTCTCAGCTGCAGCGATGGCAGCCTTCGCTACTTTCATTTTGTCGTCTTCTGCCACACCTGCAGTCTTTTCCTTGGTCACTTTCGCAATTGTGGAAATTTCTGATATCTTTTCTTGCATCTCTTCTTCAGGTGTTTCTTCAGTCATTTTCTTGGATTTCTCCACGGTCACCACCGGCTCATCCTGTCCCATTTGCAGCTGCACGTGGACTGACTGGTCTTTGGCTTTCACCTCTTGAGCCTGCTTCTTGGCAAGCTTCCAGTCGAAATGCGTGATGTTCAAGGCATTTTGACCGTTGGACCAGAACTTGTTTTTGAAGACATAGAGAATTCCAGTGTCAGCCCGCGGCTCGCACTTGCCCAACATCTTCAACAAGCCAAGTCTCTGCATGTTCTCAAAGGAGAACTCTGCCTTTTTGCCTGTGGGGATCTTGATCCCACCTATCTCTGCGAAGCTCTCTTTCACCTTTCTGAACGACGTGTTGGCCAAGTTCACCATGTTCATTCCATCATAGCAGCTACTCAGAGGTCCTTCGCCTGTGCCAAGACCAAGACATCGGGACATGTTGGGGGATGGTCTGTTGGAGGTTTTTTTTGGTACACAACATTATATCTATATATGTATCTATATGTCCTATAGTTTGTTTACCATCCACGTTCTTCAATTTCTTTCTGTTACTGAAAGATGCCGTTTCTGCTGGGCTTCAACTCGCAGAATCAATGCACATAATTAGTAAATCACTATTGTCAACTCCCATAAAACATCTCACCCATACAGCATCCACGTCCATGTCCGGTATAGTTGCATAATTGCCTAAATCTAGATGATTTGGCGGGTATTGTACACTATTGTTGTCTAGCTTTATGTGTGTATTACATGTTTTCTTTGAGATATGGGTATGGGATGGGTCAAAATTCAAGAATTTCAAGACCTGGGGTACCACAGATTTCAAAGTCTATCTCATCTGGTGGTTTCAACCCCTCTAAAAAATATTTCAGTTCGTCAGTTGGGATGATGACATTCCCAATATATCCCAATGGAAAAAATGTTCCAAACCACCAACCAGCTATCGTATTCACATGTATTCACCATCCAATGGGGTCCCCAACTTTGACCCATGCCCAGCCGGTGAGGTCGTGCAGTCGTGCCGACGCCTGCATATTCTAAATCACCGTAGTTGCGATTCAATATTTGCAGCACCACACTGTAGCCCACCTTGGTGTTCAAAACATGACAGTCATTGACAGTCCACATAATTCTCTGAAAAAAAAACATACTGACGTTTTTGCTGACCAATCCCCCAAACTAGTGACAACTAACCATATTCAAAATTGATAACCCCTCCCCCCCTCAGAAAAAACAAAAACTCTGTAGGGGGGTGTAAATCCTGGGTTGACAATCCAATACCAAACATTTTAGGGGGACATAATGGAAACCATTTGGATATACACATAGTATCATAGACTGGATATATATATATATACACACCTATATATATATATACGTATATATATATATATGCAGTATATATATATATAATATATTATACTCAATCTAAGATATGCAGGGATTGAATGTGATGTCTATGCAACATTCAATCCACACCCCGGTCATTCCCGGGACCCCAAAAAGGTTCATAGATCCAGTGGAGCATTCCATTCCCGAGACATGTGGTGAAACCACTGCCGAAAATCATCCCTGTGGGAGGGGTTGCAGGGATGGTGTAAACATGTTTTTTTTTTACATGTTTGGGCTTACCACATTGTGATCATCACAGTGTTTTCAGGAATAGCAACACCAAAACCACAAGATCTTCATCTTTATATACTCTTGGGGATTGCTTCTCTGGGTATACAGTATCGTGCACAAATAGAAACAACATCCTGTAAATTTTGCATCGAGCGTTACCCACCCCAAATAAGAATTTTAACATGCATTCATACTGGCCTGTAAACTGAGGACCCCCAATAATCAAATGGTTGATGCTTAAAAAAATAGTCTTAGCTGCCCAGGTCTTAAATAGGGTAGTAATTAGTAATCAGCTGCTGCAAATGGTGAAGACTAAAGTGACTAAAGTATTTCACCCCCTACATCAACAACTTAAATGTTGACCCATACCCATATGTCGCAGCCATCCATGACTGATGACAGCCAGCCATGTCATTCCATTGTAAACCCATTGATTTCCACCAATCAACAGGTGTATAATTCTCGTGACTCAGGGATTCACATTTCGAAGCATGAAACCAGCATTGGGTGAAGGGGAACATCTTGACCGAAAACATGTTTTTGTACGCATTTTTTTCAATCTATTCCCACTATATTTCCTAATACATTGCATTCCAATAAATTATACAACCATTTAAAATCTTAACAATGTATGTTGTTTAAATACACGTGTTGTTCGTTCTGTTGATGAAATCACCATCAGTCAAACTTATCCAGACATGATATGAAAACGGTCACATAGATGAGTCATCACCCCCTTGCTAACTGCCCTCTGGTTATTTAACATAGCTTTGGAAATCACCATTTTTAATAGGGAAATCCTCACAAATAACCATCTATACATGAGACAGTTTTCATAACTATATTTAAGCACCACAGGTAATTCCCATGAATATCCCCACTTGTGATGCTTAAATTGCCATTCATCACAACAAAATCATTCCGGATCAGAGGGTAAATTACCATCAAGTTAATTAGTCATGAAAACCATTCTTAGCCATTAAATTCACCATTAACCATGGCTAATAACATGGCTAGTAACCATTAGCCAGTTAATTACTAATGGTTAGCCATCAAATTCTTAGCCACTATTAACCATTAGTAACCATTAAATTCACCATTTTTCACCCTTCTTAGCCATGGTGATGCAACGATCCCTCGATCCCCACCGGTCCCGACCGGTCCCCACCGGGACCTTCAGACCCTTCGTGGCGCCAACGACGTCCACGGAACACACGTCCGAGGGAACGCACATGGCGCTGGAACTGAAGCTACGTTGATCTTTGTTCTCGAAACCTGGATTCCACTGGATGATGTCATGGTTAAAAAAACCAGGTGAAATGATAGAATATGGTGATATTATGTTTGTTTACATCATTGTAATGGTTAAATACTAGAATGTTTAAACATATGGTTAAATATGGTTACTGTGAATATGGTCAAATATGGTCAACTATTTATTAAACTTATCAATGGGGGTGACCTACCCGTACTAGCATTTTTGACTGGATAACAACCACAAAAAATGATTAGTTTAAGGGTTTAACCAACATGTATAATGGTTAAACACCAATGTTTGGACAGAGTGAGAAATAGTGATGACTGGGTATTTAATGGAATACAACCACCAATCTATGGGGATATAACGTGATATAACAACCACCAGTGCATGGGGATATCATGGAAAATGGTGAATTTGATGGGATATGAATGGGATAGCCGGGATAGCATACATGTTTACAAAAAAATGTGGGAAAGCTATGGTGAAACCCTTTTGGAAAATGATCTACTTTCACGGTAGGTCTTCCACATCTACCTACTACATTAGTTATGGATGACAATGCAATGGAAATAGAGTGGGAAATGGTGATTTAACCATTCAATATCAATGGGAAATGGTGATTCAGCCTATGCTTCCAAATATGTGATTTCCTCCCGTATTAAACCATCGTTTTGGGGTTGTCTAATTAATACTAGGGGCAAGGCATGGTAATGGGAATTAATACATATATCTATATATATTGGCAACTGGTGATTTGATGATTTTAAATACGATATTACTCGGACAAAAACCCTCCGGTAATTCATTTGCCACATTCCTATGGTATAGATTGCCCATTTACTTGGATGATAGACCCTGTTTCAGAAAAACATGTTCCACAAAACAAATTGGAACTAATTACCAAATTTATGCTGAATGGATTGGTCAGACATTTGAATAAAACACAAACCATTTCTATGGGCATAAAATGAAATATACGATGGGCGTTAATGTATGTATATATATATATATCAAATATATTAATGTGATATTAACACTCTAAAAAAACTAAAAACATATTTGTATATATATATATATATAAATATTATATATATATATATATAGTAGACGCATATGTTGCAGCAAATGGATTGGTCTGAAAATATGATATCATTATCCCGTATCCCTTCAACATCCTAACGATAATTTCATGGTGATCTGATTACCTGAAACATAATGGGGATATGTTTGGCCAACAATCTGTGACTTGGGTGTGTCTCAAATTGGCGGATTTATTCAAGTTACAGCTATACATACTGCCCCTGAACGAACTTCCATCCATTCACGGACATGGCATGGCAATCTTCCGTCCCTACGGGATCGGGAGGTCCGCCCAGCAGTGGGTCAGACGATTGCAGAACCTTCCTCAACTTGAGGTCGGCCAATTTCAAGAATAGCGAGATTCAAATTGTCTTGTCGGAGTTGCACAAAGATTCCTTGGGTCTGCGACGTACCAGGAGTCAGGTCGTCACCTGCTCCGCTACCAGTGTGAATTTGGTACGGAATCGTCAGCAGCCCGCACTTTTAAGCGTTAGCGAACGAGCTCAAGGGCCCTATGATCCAAATGGCGACAGCATGTACATGTCAACCCGGTGTTCAAATCTATGCAATGTGAGGTCAGATTGACACCATGTTATCATATCCACATGATCAAACCATTTAGTTTGATTCCACATTAAAACTCCAGTTCGTCTCATTCGACTTTCCATTAAACAATCCATGTTTGGGGTTGATCATTTAGACATCCAGCCCGTCTGGGGTCAATCATTCCAAAAACAACTGTGGACTTGTTACGGAAATCGATGTCAATGATGGGGTCAAATAGGAACAACAAAAGTAAATACAAACAAATGGCAAAAGACAACTGAAACGACTATGTGCCAGAAACTGTAGAGGTAGGAACAGGTAGGGTCTCCCTCTTTCATCAAAGCGCCAAGTCCAGGATCGCTACACTTCCCGTCACCCACGGCCATGTCTCTGACTTGCCCTTCAATGTCATCTCCCTGAATGCCTTGGGCCATTGCAGTGTTCAGTTTTCCCCAGTTGGCCCCGGTTGGTTGATAAATGTTGATGATTCCAGGGGAATATGCTAACCTTCGAACTGCATATCGCCTGGCATATCGCCTGGGAAAAAAGCTCACCAATGTAGTGGGGAATATCACGATCCACTAGGGGAATCCCTATCAAGGAGTATGAAAGGGACCACACAGGGTTTTGAACACTGCTCAAATAAGCATAGATGAGTGTGTCTGAAATGGAAAACATACATGGAACCAAAAACGAAACCTGGATGGGATGGGAAAACATACCTAGTTTGTCTTTGACCTGGCTGCATTTTGGTGTTCCTATTTTCACAGAAACCCAGATTTTACCCCAGTAGATTACCCAGTCATGGTGGGTTGACGAATCCATGAGTCTTTTGCCATGACTTTAAGGGTGAAATGAAACTATATGCTTGGTTGTCCAAGGAAACATCCCCATGAAAAATCCAAATTGTCTTTAATGTCCCAATATATCCCCGTTCCCATTATATTCCCAGATCGTATTCACCCCCGTATTGTTGGTGGATAAAGCCCATTATATCGCATTGTCTCTATTGATTTAAACCCTATTTAAGCCCAGCCGTGATATTCCCAGTATACTAGCTATGCTATATCATCATATCCCATAATTCCAAAATGTGCCCAATAGCCAAATCCATATAGCCTCTGCCATTGTCAGTTAAGTCCAGGATGCTATTGGTGTTCAAAAGGGTAGCCATTTTTCCTGCATAATCCCGTGATTTGCCGCAGCATTCCAACATCTGCTTCAGCGTACCAAAATTTGGGTTGAGCACCTGCAGCTGCAGCAAGGGCCCGGGGGCCCCTGGCAAAGCATCAGGAAGAATGGGAATAGATCGGATATAGTCATATATATATATATACACATATATAATGTCATATGATAGTTATGATGTTATATGTAACTATACAATCAACATCAATCAACAAGGTCTCATCTGGGTTGGTCTATTTGGCTATGGCTCGAAACACTGGTCTGGTACCCCTTTTTTGGACACCAAAGTAGCTGATCAGTGGATGTTCACAGCCAGATCTGGTATACGGGCGTGACAGTCTGAAAATGCTGGATACACCCAAATGGCAATTTTCCTCACCCATAGGATCCATGTATGGTATATATGCTAACATTGGGGGTATATTGATGGTAAATGTTACCATATATAGCATACATGGATCCTATGGGTCAGGATAATGATGAATAAGCAATGGATTTAGATGGATTTAGAGGTTTTCCGATAAATGTTCAAACAAACCCATAGAGTCACAATGGTGTTCATCCCTGCCTGGAGCAAGACGGTATAGAGACCAACTTTGCCACCTTTTGTCAAGTCGCCTGCACCCTTCACCACATCCCCACCGACAGCTGTCGCGATCCGGATGTAGGCTGCAGCAGGACAAACCAGAAGCAAAAGCAAAGGGACACGCAGCATTTGTTAAGAACCTGGTGGAGTCACAACGAAAACCAGAGGTCCTTGAGATCCTTGAAGCTGCAAACCAAAGTGGAATGAGCGGGAAACACATGCACTCAAGGGGGTATTTCATGTTTTTTTGTTGAACGCGTTTGCTCTCCGGTAGAAATGGGTAGGATAAGCAAGCTACGGATGTAATTACATACATGGCAAAAAAAAGTTTCACGCCCCTGAACAAAAATACAGTAGTCATCGGAGGCTTTCATCTTCATCAATCATGTCCCTAAATATAGTTGAAAATTAAACAATACTTGAGATCGCCAACCAAATAATTAGCCAGCTTCCTTGAAACAAATTATCCAGATTCATTTCATATCCAAGTGCCACCAAGTGCAAAAATAGAATGACCAACCATTTCCATTGATATTAATTAATTGGATTTCAAAATTTAATTTTCCAGGTTACTGACTGTAGATAGTATTAATTCTGTAGTCCTTCAATTCTCATCCATTTAGTCCGTTTGCTGGGTGGGAATAGAGAATATTAATATCATCTCCAAGGTAGCAGGAGGCACGCTGCCGTCACACACACCTCAGTGTTGAGGAGGGTTTCACTGGTATATTAAATATTATATATAGATTAATGAATTATATATATAGCATAATATAGCTAATGTACAGTTAACTAATAGTTAACTATTTGTATTCAAAGAAGTTTGTTGCGAAACCCACAATTTTGGGTCAAACTTTGAAGCTGACGCAACCTTGGACCCAGATTAGAATCTCCATGATAAAAATGCGGAACTGCGACCTTAAATTCGCTGACCAGCAACGTTCAAACCCATAAAACAAGGTGATGATTGACATGGTTTCACCACACAAAAAAACACAACACCTTCAAGAATCAAACATGGCAACGGGAAATCCATAAATGGATGGTTTTGGCTAGGTTTAACGGGAAAATCATCTACAATCCAGCCATGTTTGACTCCCAAAGGGTAACCCTTCAGGGGGCCCGCGCATCCGGCTTCAAAGCCTCCAGCTGTTCAAGAAATTCCTTGTCCTGGTGAGATGGGTACCCTCTGGTAATTTAACATAGCTATTGAAAATCACCATTTTTAATGGGAAAATCCACTATAGATGGCCATTTTCAATAGCTACGTTAAATTGCCAGAGGGTAATGTCTGTGGGTAATTACTCCCGAGTCCTAAACGCCCAATTGGGACGATGAACACCCAATCGGAACCATGAATGCCCAATCAAGAGGTTTGTAAGTGCGAACATCTACTTCCAACGTTTCCAGTTTTTAACGCCCTATCCCGGTTCCGAGTTCACCCACAAACAATTCGCTTCTCATACGGGACATCGTAACCCAATTCGATCGTCACAGAACGCAGAACATGTTGTGAGTGGTCTTATAAATGAATCAAGGTTCTATTCCGGAGCGAGCCGAGAATAGTTCAAGAGCAAATGTTGCAGGATAGTGTAGTACATCTACTTCTAACGTAGGTTGTCTATCGTAGGTTTTGGTGGAGCCTAAAAACTCCACCTGGTCTCAATGGTTCCAATCCCTTTCTTGCACATGGCTGGCCCGAGATGCCCAGCAAAAACTATGATTCAGAACTGGTTGGTCAATTTTCCTGTTTAGTTGTGGCAAAAGCATGTCCCAAACCCACAAACCAAGGTTGACCCGTTGCTGATGTCATGTTTTGCGTTTTTTCTTTTGTTTTTTTCAAGAAATATCGAGGTTTTCACATACAAAATCATACAACATCTAGAAACGCACAGTTCTCTTCAACAACTCCTCCACTCATGTTCTTTTTTTTCTGTCCACAATTTCCCACGACTCTGCCCCCAATCCCCACACCAGTCCTTTGCAGATGGAGGTGTCAGCACCTGAGGGACCTGTGAGGTGAGGAGACGATCGCCACCCGACAGAGAAGAAATGCCAGATGGAAAATTTCAGAAAAGGAGAAGAACGAGAATATTTGAAGGCATGGAATGGAGAGCAAGAAGGAGCAAGAATAAGCAAGAGGCAAGAGAAGGAAAAAAGACAGCCAAGACAGCCTCAGAAAATGCCGTGTTTCACAGTGTTTTTGGTTGTTTTGGGCCTCATCCTGGGTTGAAATGGCCCATAGTGGCTGCAAGAAGCCGTACGACAGCCCATCTTCCGCCCAAGCTAGCCCAACATAGCTTCCACATGGCTTCCACATGCCTCCAACATCGCCCAACACGGCCCCAACTTGGACCCAGCTTGGCCCCAACATCGCCTCCACATAGCTCAACATGGCCTCCATGCCCAACATGGCCCAACATGGCCCACCATGGCACCAACATGATCCCAACATACCCCCATGCCCCCAAGATGGCCCAAGATGACCCCAACGTGGCGCCAACATGCCCCCAAAATGGTCCAAGATGGCCCTCATCGCCCCCCTCCCCTCCTCCCTGGCCGGTGGCCGGCTGTCAGGCGTCAGCCTTTAAGTATTTATCAATATAATTTCATTCTGATGTTTTGGTCCAAGTCTGAAAAAATAAGCATTCATGGTACCACCCTATGGATAGTATGTTTTTAATGGTCAAAACACCATTAGGTTTTGTCAACCTGATCCACGGGGATAGCACGAAAAATTCCATCCAAGCAAAATGGACTTGGAAGCACCACTGACATGATTTGATGTGATCGGTTTTCAATGGGTTGAACACATCTTTAAACATGGATCATACCAAAATGTTGCTGCTACCTGAGCAATTTAGACATCCCAATTCCTAGTCCTTGGGAATAACCTTCTCGGATGTGCATCCCATTTACTAAGTGGATAGTAAATCTCT